CTCTTCATTGTGCTCATGGTAAGAGTGGAATTGGAGTATCAGCTCCACTTCATCTTTCATCTTGTGTTTAAGACATAATGGGGTGGTGTCAATGCCTTTAATGAGCAGATGGACAATGCAATGCAGAATAAACTCACTTCAGTACATGAAGTTATAAGTGAAGTTATCGGCAATCTTGATATGCATAATCATCCACATTGCATCCATCAAAATAATGTGGGTTTTAAGAATTGGTAACCACAAGAAAGTAAGGGAATATAAGGCACACGCGATCAAGTTATTAGGAATCCCCCGCAAAGGCAAGAACCGAATTCTTCACACACGGTGGGCCAAACCGGCTAATGGATTAACGTTTAGCATTTGATTACTCGAAGATGATCTCAGCAAACAAATCAGTATAAGACTCGTTTTAGCTTTACCAAGTCCCTATAACTCATCAGTTTAGGTGCATCGAATTTCCATACTCTTAGTTTCACGTTCGCATACCTTCACATCCACGTAGTTAGAATGAAGTGGTATTTATTAAACGATGGCAAATTCACGTTACCCTATATTTACAATCTCGAAAGCAACAGAAACAAATGGGCCTTTATAATGTTAGGTGAGTAATGACCTATGCGCATGTGATTAGATTAAATTGGGGTGGAGATAATAATCAGTTGTGCTTTGCTACAAATTGGTGTCAGTACGGCTTCTGATCCAGCGCAGAAGAATGCAGCAGTTTAAGGAGAGCACCAAGCTGATGAAAGATGATGAAGTAGAAGTCTGTTTCTTATTTGAATGCTTTAAATTTCATCACTAGTCATAGCTATATCTGACGCTATGTGGGACTTGAGCACAGCAAGTGCAATGAAACACCCGTACCATGCTTAAGCATCGGTTCGCATGACAACTTCAGCATTCGAATCTGTATGAAGGTCGCACATATTCCGACACCAGCAGTATTTACACTTTTCAGTTAGAGTAAATCTAAATATTCATACTCACTACAAATGCAAATGTTATTTCCAGACATTTAACCACGTAGCACGTCCGTGGAACCTTCAACACGCCAACATGAGACACAGGCTGGGAGTTGTATGATATCATATTAGGCTATTGCATAATCCGAGCTAAAATGTCCTCTTGAGCTAGTATGCCATTTTAGCTTCTAATGTCTGCTTTTTCACACACCTATGTCATAGGTTTTGAAAGTCGCTTTCGATGTTCTACAAAGTTTGCGTTGTAGTTATCAGGTACTGGAAATGTTTCATGAAGTAAGCAGGTGCGGATGCATGAACAAAGTAGAGAAATGCACGGTCAAAATGCAGCACCACACTTCGATACAGCTATCACATAATGTAGGGCAATCTCCAAAAGCAATGTAAAACCTTTCACAAAGTAGTATATGATAGGCTTATCTGCGAGGAGTCATGAATGCCCATTTGTATCACTCGACGTCCAACTTTACTTTACCGAACCGCCTATTGATTCCATAACTGCTGTGCCCTCCACTGTCATTACTTACCACTCGATATTTGCAAAAATGAAGAATTTTGGGTGTCATGTGCAAGCATATGGAGGAGCCTAACATTCGCCGACAGCTTAGGCAATGGTTGCATGCCTCTGCATTTTAGTGTATTAATGATAACGAATTAATTGGAGTGGATGCCAAGTTGCTCAAATCAGTCGACTTGGTAAGCCGGTAGGGAGAACTTGCCGCCTTGTGTTTGAGAAAGGGGAAAATAATGCGAAATAAATTGCTTGAAGATTCAACTGCATCATCAACGAATGGATTCACGTTACTACTGCCTCAAATGAGTACGCATTACTTACGTAGCTTAAACCTTAGCTGGAGCAGTTAAAGTACTACACGGAATTTGGCTTAAGAGGTAAATGCTCTGATCGTCGTATTGATCAATCTTAAGACTCACACAGTGCCACAAAGAAATGCGACTTGCTGGTCAATTGTTTTTCTTAAGAAATCTAATGCCTTATTTATCCTGTTTCATTCTAATTACTTAGGCATACACAACGTAAAAAATAGAAAAAACAGTATAATTTTGTAGAATGCTATGGCAAGTTCTTAACGCCAACCACTGTAAATAAAAGGTGGCACAACATTCTAGAGGGAATAAAAAGCACTCTCAATGACCAATCGTTGTCACTTAAGAAAAAGTACCCATTGGAAGGTGCTATAGAAAAATGCCTGTAGGTAGAGTGAAAAAATAATTAGTGTGGTCAGATGGAAGTTAGGAAGGTTAGGCATGTGTACCAGGATAGAGAAGGAAGAAGGTGAAAAGGGGTAAAGGAAGAATCGATTGAGGCATAGGATTTTGAGACATTGATGCTTGTCGAACACCGTCTTGTTTTGTTGAGTACCACTCTTTCCCCTTCAATGGATTACTATTATTATACTTTATATTCACCTGTTGAGAACCACCAATTGTTGCTCAGTACCATAGGACCAAGCTACACCAACGTCAGTTCCACTTTTTCATTCCTCAGTGGACTACGCAATAACGCAGTGTCTATCATCAGTAGTGCCAATAAATAGGTCGCGAAGTGTCTCATTATTGCTTTTTTCGGGGTTACATGCATCGATGCATTCCCATGTATATATATATACCCCACAACACTTTGGTAGTTCCCCATATTTTGGTCGACTTAATATATTTGAGGCAGGAATATTACCGTTCATATCAAAGCAGACAAATCGGAGTACTTATAATTCCTCGACAAAATTGGCCTTTTGTCAATCGCACAAATTGTATGCATTATGCCTGTGAAACCCCAAGCAATTAGTCTCCAAATTAAATACTGACTGACTTGCCGTTGCATTGCACTTGTCTTGCAGATGAGATGCCTAGAAACTTAAACCCTAAAATAAAGTGTCTTATCAATTCCTCTTCAATCTTTAACACGCCTTGCGATATATTGCCTTAGTGCATCTATGCTCAGTAGGAATATATCGGGTAATGCCAAATGCTCACTAGCGGTGGGAATTTTAAACGAGAAGAAATAGTTGAAGGCATGGACTACGGACCTATCTGCTAGTAGTCATTGAAATTGGCATAAAATGCAACCATAAAGTGAGTGCTTTAAGTAGCCCCGTCAAGGTGTGCTTTCTCTCTTACCTGCTCATGGCAATGAGAAAGACCAGAAGTTGGCATTTCCTCGAGCTGCCAAATGTTTCTAACAATTCAGCTACGTACACTCTCTTGGTGCTGTACACTACAGTTTCGGCATCTTGGCTCCGCCCAGGTGACCTTCGTGAGGCATTCTCTATTTATATAGAAATAAACGCCTACTTCCTCTATTCCAGATAGGTAGGCCAATCCTGTAGAGGTCGACTGGAGTGCCATCGCCGAGAGGCGTGCTCCCTCTAGTATGCTGGGAACAGTGGTGGCTTGACGGAGATCACAATTCTTGGGCAACCAAAGGCCACCAGTACATTCGGTTCGAGGATTCCAATTTCTCCTTTAAGCGCAGTCTAATTCTTTGCGTAGATTCTAAGTGATTGTTTATGCTAATGCACCTGGAACCACCAGTTGTTTGGAAGTTCCGATCTGATCTTTCTATGGTTTGACCTCCACGGTTCATGAGCATCGTGGCAGTTAACGCCACATAGCCGGATGATACCGTAGCCTTTGTGATTGGTTCCTGAAGGGTTATAAGTGACCCATCTTGCTCCATAGCCACACCAGGTGTCTCGGACCGCGTTAGTTTCCGGTAGAAGCACGTTGCTTGACAATCAAAACACTAGCCCATTTCACGGTGGAGCGGCTTTTCAACATTGCATTAATGCGATCATCGTGGAAGTGGATAACAAAGCTAGGGACCGAACTTGATTACTTTGACGAAGCAGCTTGGCAAAATCGCATAATTTGCCAACTGCTTAAATAAGATGCTAGCTCAGAACTTTGCAGCTTGTAATGTTGAGGTTCCATCACTGAAATTGGCGACCTTATTCCCTTCATGTGTAAGAATGGGTTTCAACTATCCTTAGGGAAACTTGGTGGCATGATCGAGGAATGGAATGCCACCAATGTGGGTCAGAATATTTGGACTGAAATGGATGCTGAATTTGGAGCACTCTGATTAACTTGCAATTGAGAACGGAGAAGCATGCATGCCTCATAATTATGAATACACTATTTTCCGAGGGTACGTGCTGCACAAAGCAACAAATATTAGGCATTTGTTTCGCCCGACTGCTTGACTGCTAAAACAATGTTCTATGCGTCTGTCACAAACGTGCGCAGGCGTTTGATTTCAGCAAACAACGATATGGCAAGGCGAAACCTGAAAGAGACCCCACTTAGCCAGCTACCACTGCAGGACTTATACAAAAGCCAACAGCACATTGATGTAGGTCCTACAGATGGCCTTCAGGATTCTTATAAGTTTGGACTATTTGAAAGGCGCAGCTCTATGGATCCCCTTCACGCAAACCCAATCACCAAGGCCTTCTGTCTATTCTGCGCCGTTTAACTCAGGTGTTGCTTCAGCAGAAACTGTACGATTGCAAAGTGCTGACTTCGATTTCTGTTGTCTCAACAGATTCGTCCATGCACACTGGATGCCGTCCTCTCTTCAATTCTGCTGATGAAGCTAGTCGACTCATTTGAATGAATGCAAATTCTTGAGCGCAGGCAAAGGCGCATGCAGCATTCACCCCTAACATCAGCATATTCTTGCCTTAGAGTCAAAGATTGCAGACATATCTTGCCTTCGGATTGCTAAAATCATACCTGAAGACACTATTAAACGCGTAAGCATAGAACCATACAAAGTAAGGCAGGGAAATGCACCGAATACTCCGTCGTAGATTACACAGGAACTAGTCCGAATAAGCTACCTATCCACGACTGCACTCTACTTTCCTCAAAATATTGCTGATCCACTTTTACAACAACCTGATTTTTGTCTTAATGGGCATTCAAAACGTGCCCTCACCAGTCTGCATGTTTGTAGCTCCCTTCCTACGGCAAGGCTCTCGACTGTAACAGTAACCTCCTGCCCATCCGTACTCCAAATGGTAAATCGTCTTCCATGCTGGTACGAGTTGCTGCAACCTCAGCGTAGAATCAAGCCCCACACTTCGAATATTCTATGCACAAATATTTCACAGGTTAAGAACACAGTTGAAAGACTCGGTAGTGTAAGCTTTTACCACCTCTCTTCACATGTTGCCAACATGGGACACGTATAAGGAGGCTAACAAATTTTACTGAACACGCATTGTTGTTATCAACAGACGTGTAGACGATCACAGCAACAGTAGCTCCTCTCAGTAGAACTCCACCTCGTCATTAATGCCGATATCCTTGTTATCGGCGATGCTGATGTGGCCTCGACAGTGCATTACACTGAGCAGTTTGCTTGACTCCAACTTTGGGCACAATCGTTTAGTCAACTCTTGGACCTTCGATTAATCTGTTCATTGTAGACACCAGTGTTTGTCTGATAATCCCTGACGTCTTCAGGGCAATCCTTTGCCTTATCATAAAGACCACATGCATGAACTCCTCAAATCCCTAGCAGATGGAAAGAGAAGTACATGTCTGAATCGTTGGACGTTGAAGGCACAGAATTACCTCCATCATACCCGTTGTCACAGAGAAAACTAACGACTGGAAGAAACAAGTGTACCAAGTTTGCTACAACATCAATCTTCATGTCCGCCCGACTGTTATGGACCCGGAAGAGTGATTAGAGCTTGTGAGAATTAGCAGATGAACTGCGTTTTACAGAAAGGTTCATGATTCAATTTACGCCGGCAGTGCTTCTCAATGCGTAGAGGTCTCTTAAATACCAGCTTGGTCTGGAATTTGAAAACCAAGGCTCTTCGTGTTAGAGCCTGTACAAATAGTGGGGTTTACTTAAAATCACTTGTCACTGCAGAATGTTTCATGAACATTAGTACTGATTGTGTTTGAGGATATTTGGATAACAAAATAGCTTGATACAATTCGGTCAGTTCCCACAACCAAATCACTTTCATTGCAGTGGAAGTTTGGTACGCATAGTTCCATGGATTTTGCAGCCCTTGTCATGGGTGTACCCGCCATAAATTTGTCGTAAACTATTAAGGCTCTGGGCCTACTTGTATTATTAAACAATGTTTGCCTGTGTGTGGGTGGTGACAGCTTATTGTTATTAAGCCAACCAGATGCACGCCATTCGAAGCCTTCACGCTGAAGCCCTCCGGTAAAGCTTCGGATGAGGAAGCACCCATCCTATTCTGTGAGGCAACTAAATTTACTTAATCATCCTGCAAAAAGGATACGGTTTTGGTTTTAAAGCATAGAGGCTTCTCAGTGGGAAGATGCCGGTGACGGTAAAAAGGGAACAATAGTTGGCATTTGATTGTCATCCAATTTTAACGATTAAGTGGACTTGGATCTGACGAAATTGCCCACTCATCTGCGAGCTCAAATACTTTGCAGCTATTGGGACATGCACGCGCACCGAACGTGTGGGTAGCTACCGCAAGAGCACGCACGCACCTCAGTTGCCTCACTTCAGCCAACCAATGGGGATGCTCGAGACGAGCGAAGCAACCAGTCACGATGGAAAGGCCAAAAACAGCTGCACGTGTGGAAAGGCGCTCCTGTTGAAGCCCAATCACCGCGCTACCACGACAGGCGGTGCCGTGAGGATGAACTAGAATCGACGCAGCTGGTCCTCCACATCTGTGTCTGAACCAATGGGTTAGTCAGGCTTTCTGGTTCCGATAAGTAGAGTACAATTTGTCTTTCTGCCATGATTTGGGCCTCTCTTGGAGTGCAACGGTGGCGTAATGCAAGAGGTAAGTTGGCACACCAGTCAAAGGCTCATTGGTGCTTAATAATAATAATGAAATTCTAGCTAAGTTTGAAGGCAGTCAACTTCATTAAAAGAGACTTCTAGTTGCGAAAATTATCCATATTTGCTGTGAATGTGTATTAGAAGCTCTGGTTTGGTGTGGGGCGAGGGAGGTCGGGATCGGTGCTGGCCTGCTTGGGATACGGTTGACAAAGTAGTTCCCAAATTGTACTACAGGGCAGTGAGGGAGGTTATTAATTAACAGCAAAAATTGTCGATGAGTACAATGGGAGTGGCGGTACACACTCCAAATACAATAAGCAAACTGTGCTTCGGTAATTAATGGGTCCAATTTTTGCCTAGGCGTAGGGATGTAAATAAACACCAGAAGGGAATTGACGTGGCGATCAAGTAGCTGTCAAGGAAATAAAGTGCATTTGACAACTGCAAAGGTTTCCTCCATAACCAAATCAGCAACGTCTAGTTAGGATGACTGATTTGCTAATCATGATTATTTCACTTTCTGAAGTTGTAAGAAGTTCAAAATGGGCCTTTCAGTGGCAGCATCAACGCATTGCGTAAGCCTCAAATAGTCGAACCGGTGATAGTCAAGTCAATTGGTGACGGCCACTTGAGGGAATGGCAAACTTTTCGACAATGCGGACAATGTCATTGATGCCAAGGATTCCTCCTCAGGTCCCAGACTGTCATGGCGTGATGGACGAGGCATAAGACATGGTTACAGAAAGGTCTTTCAACATCGGCCTCCTCGGTGTTACCCTCCTACATCTGACCTTGGCGTGTGGAGGTTGAATTTACATTAACCAAATAATCACGTCGAAATGAATGCATCGCTTTCACATAGAGAAATGTATGCAGGCTTAGCAGACACTGAGTAAGTTGCCTCATGGCAATACCACTCACCCCTTGCAAAGGTAAAGATGTCTCTTACTGTTTGAGAAGTGACCAGTGCAACACTGGTGTGTCACTTCGGAATGCACTCGACTTTATGAAATGTGCACATGCATTCACGGTGCTCTATGAAGCAGATCGTCAATGATCCACCGAAGGAGCTCATTAGAGCATGGAACTCTTCAGAGTCCTGTTGCCTTTTTCTACCATTGCACATACAGTTACTTCACCATTGTGTTCTCCACTAGCACTCTGCTTGACACAAGAGGCTGCTCCATTACAAATAACCATGATGTGTGCAATTCAGCCTGTTTCACTTTCACGTCTATAAAGCGGTGTTATTCCTACCAACCGTGGTATCAAATGGCGAAATCCGCAAAAATTGCTTTTTGTTATTCGTTCAGCATGAATTCCTGATCCATTCTAGTTGCATTTTTATCAGCATAAAGTGTTATGCATTGTTTACTCACCCAAAGCATAAAACATAAATAAGGACAGCTTCTATTGAGTCCAACAACATTTACTTATGAAACAATCCTAATCATCCTTAAAACTGTCACATGCCTATGAGGTGATGTTCAACTCTCCATTAAAACAATAAATAAATCTACTGCAGTAATCAAGATGTAGTGTTAAATAGGGCGTGCCGACACCTCCAATTCGCTTCCACTGCGGTGCCTTTCAGCAGGCAATACACTTGTTCACAATGAAATGTCAGCACATGAGTTGTTAAAATAAATGAATAACTGGACCCAGGTGCCAGCACTCATCTTTGTGGCAGTATGCTTTATACTAAACTAGTCATTTGTTTGCAGCGATAATAGTTGCGTGTATGGAGGGATTTGCAGAACAAATTACAAGGACGCATCTATGGACAAAAAAAGAAGTGTGCTTTGCAGCAAAGAATGACGATTCAATCTCCACAGGATCCAGCAGGGTTCGTATTTTGTGTATGCTTCGACCACTGCCATCAACCAAATGTTCGG